ACCTGTGCCAACTCACCTGTGACCCCTCACCTGTGCCAACTCACCTGTCCTCTCTCACCTGTGCCCTCTCACCTGTGAGCCTTCACCTGTGCTCTCCTTACCTGTCACCCCTCATCTGGGCACAGGTGTGAGAACCCCTCACCTGGGGGACAGGTGTGGGAACCCCTCACCTGGGGGCAGGTGAGTGACCCCACATCTAGGGAGAGGTGAGTGACACCCTCAGGTGTATGACAGGTGAGGGAGCCCTCAGGTGTGTGTCAGGTGTGTGACCCCAGCTCCTCACCTGTCCTCTCACCTGTCCCGCAGGTGTTCCACACCCGGGCCCAGCAGGGCGTGGCCCTTCATCCCACCGCAGTCTTCGCCTCCCGCCCGGACCTGCTGCAGCCCCAGGGGGGCCCAGGTGAGACCCTCAAGCCAGGTGAGAACCCTCTGAACCCCAGGGGGGCCCAGGTGAGACCCCCCGACCCAGGTGAGACCCCTCAAACCCCAGGGGGGCCCAGGTGAGACCCCCAGACACAGGTGAGACCCTCCCAGACCCAGGTGGGAGCCCCAGGTGAGCCCCCAAACCCCAGGGGCCCCAGGTGAGCCCCCCAAACACAGATGAGACCCCCCGAAACTCAGGTGAGACCCTCCCAGACCCAAGGGGGGCCCAGGTGAGACCCCAACACAGGTGAGACCCCCAAAATCCAGGTGAGACCCTCTAAACGCAGGTGGGACCCCAAAGTCCCAAGGGTGGGCACAGGTGACTCCCCCAAACCCAGATGATCCCCCCCAGAGCCAGGTGAAGTGCCCAGGTGAGCCCCCAAACCTGGAGGATTTGGGGAGGGGCACAAGTGACCCTTCCCCAGACCCAGGTGAGCCCAGGTGACCCCCCAGGTGACCCCTCCGTGTCCCCCCCAGGTGAGCTCAGCCCCGACCACCAGCTCGTGGCCTTCGTGTCGCTCCTGGAGACCACCCGGCCCTACCTGCTCACCTGCCTGCGCGTCCCCGCCCTCCAGGTGAGCCCCGAGCCCCTCAGGTGTGTCCCACCCCCACAGGTAACCTCACCTGGGCCCCCTTACCTGGCCCCTTTCATCTTTTTCCGCTCACCTGTTCCCCCCTCGCCTGTCCCTTCTCTCACCTGTCCCCCCTCACCTCTCTCCTCTCACCTGTTCTCTCTCACCTGTCCCCTCCCCACCTGTCCCTTGTCTCACCTGTCCCCCCTCACCTCTCTCCTGTCACCTGAGCTCCCTCACCTGTCCCCTCCCCACCTGTCCCTTGTCTCACCTGTCCCTGTTACCTGTCCCTTTCACCTGTCCCTCTCCTGTTTTCTCACCTGTCCCCACCTGTCCCTGCCCTGTCCCCACTGTCCCTCACCTGTCCCACCTGTCCCTCCCCTATCTCTCCCCTGTCCCTCACCTGTCCCCCCTCTCCCTCACCTGTCCCTCAC